ATTTAGGGACTTTTTTGCGCCTTGCTGCATGTCAATGACGGTCGAAAGTGATGAAGAAGATGACAGTCCAAATGTGGACATCGGATCAGTCATTTATGGTTCGTCTACAAATTTGTCCAGTTAGAATTTTTTAGATTTTTTTTTTTCGTCGCTTACTTTAACTAAACGCTCCAAATGAAGGAATGCTGGCGTGACCGTTTAAAATAATGCAATCCGATGAACGGTATGTATTTTTCGCCTTTCTGAAAAGCGACTGATGTCAACGTGAGTGGTGGTACTGTCCACTCGTGCGAACTCCGAAAGATTGACATATATACCTATTGTTAACGATTTTTATTTATTGGAGACAGACAGCTAGAATGAGAGGATTTGTCAAGTGAGTGCATCCCACTAAAATATGTAGTATCAAGCTCCCATATAGGCTGTCTGTGGGGCTTCACTGAGCCCGGTAATCCCGTAAGCTTTCATAACTCTTGAAAAACAAAGTAATTCTTTCATAGAAAACGATACTGTAAAGAGGCCGCCATCGATAGTCAGTTGGTTGCTGTTGGCAAAGTAATTTCACGTGAAATGCCTTCTTCCTTGATAAGGAAGAAATATGCATGGGTTTTATTTTTTGATATAGGCCGGTAAACTTCAAATGAAAGTTAAAAGAAAATTGAATTATCACAGCAAAGGCTGTTTAAGGTGATCAGTTTGACGGAGCATGCTGTGCCAATCGTCGGCGCAAGCTGTGGCTACTAATGGAAGACCCGAGTTCCAGCACTGGCGCTAAGGTTATTTTTTAGTCCTTTTTACGCGTTTTTGCATATATGCAAATGTAACCCAGGATGGAACGCACAAGGCTCTCCGATGCGATTATGCGTTTTTGCACTAAACTCGCTGATCGCTATTTAGCAGGAATGATCCCTACGCTGTAGCCTAACACTTGGGCCATATTGGCATGCTTTTATCCTTTCTGGCATGCAGGAGGGCGTCAGTTGGGATGAAAATGGTGCACTGTAGAAACGCACGGACATCCAAGTGCATGATCACCGGCTTTTGCATGAAGTCTGGTCGTTTTTTCGGTAAATGCCCGCTTTGCAAAAAAATGACAATGCAGATTTCCAGTTCATGAAAACTTGGAGGTGTTGCTCGAACGGTCTTTTTTTAAAAAATCCATGTTCCTTTGCATATACGATTGCGGTTCAGGTCCGAGTTGCGAACGATTTTTGGGTTGAGGAGCTGCTTGAGGCTGTGGTTGGGAGGCTCGATAGCTGAGTTTAAAATCTTTAGCGTGCATAGAGAATATCCCTGTTCCAACTTCCCACCTTGTCTGGTTCGCGAAATGGTTTCCCGCCAAGATATTTCTTTGGAGGTCCCGTACGCGGGGGTCTAGGCGCGTATGGGGAAGATCATAAAACGGGAGGATGACACAAGGGGTAGGAACATACATCCAAAGTTCCAGCCTCCCAGCTTTCCTGGTTGCTGAGATGAAAGTGGGTGACAAAATGCACTCGCTTCCGAACACATACAGACAGCCTCTCGACTATATGCGCTCTCGCTGCTATAGCGCTGCTCAGCAAAAACGCATATTGTGACGACCCCGATGTGTGCGTGTGTGTATGTGTGTTTGTGTGTGCGTCTGTCCGGGTATTTCAAATTGCCAACTAAACAAACTCCGACGTCAAAATTTTGCCACTGGGTTGCCTGATCCCGTCCCAGGATCGCGGTACCAACTCTCATGCATGTTTAGGTCCCGCGTACCAACGCTTTAAAGTTTTGGTAGGGAAATTGCTAACTCGATAGCCAGAACAGATAGGGAGCTGGAATCATGAGGTTATGTTCTCCGTTTACATAGAACTCAGTACTTTCAAATTCAGTTCTGTGGGGCGTGTGGTTCTCGCGTATGGCCTAGTGAAAGTTTTCGAGGGAAATCGTTAGCTCGGGAAACAAGGGAGCTGGGAGGCGGAAATTTTAAGGGGATGTTCCCAGTCCGCGCACAGCTTAAAAACCTCAGGTTGAGGCCCCATGAGGGCGTGATTCTTGTGTACGGCCCCTTGAAAGTTTTTGGCTGGAAAATTCGCTAACTCGGGGACCAAAAAGGCTGGGAGGTTGAAATTTTGTGGGAATGTCCCCTGACCGAGTAACACGTCGTTGCACAATTAACTTCATGAACTTCGAGGACCAGTATGTCACAAATTCTAGCTACTGGCACTCCAAGCAGTCTTACTACTGAATGAGATACTACAAAAGCGCAAAATCGCACGAGTCCGCCTGGTGCGTGTCGCTAATGATTGACTTACTTTCTCCTGTTCCACGTTTCCTAGAGCCGATAAGTGGGTATATTTTAATACTTTTTCCTCCACTTTTTTTTTGTAGAAATTGTCATATACATTTTGCCATTTCTTCTATCTTAGATTTTTTTGTGAGAAAATCAGTCCTGTCTCAATTCGTTCATTCGTCTGAGACGTCTAGGCGAATCAAATACGGCTTCAGCTTTTCATTAAGCAACTTTCAAGAAAGGAAACCATCAAAGCCTCATCAGCAGACAGTTGTTTGTTAGCGCCCAGTCCTGGCACCTTTGCTGGTTATAAAGCTAGAATGCGACGAGAAATTTACTTTTTACCAGTTATTTTTCCCAACTTTTTCTAAACAAATCTCGCATCCATTGCGACTGGTTGCGTCAAACTGCCCTTTGGAACAAACATTCGACAATATCTCTGGCACTATTCTGTTGATTTAAAAGGTGAAATAGCAATTGATGAAAATTGCTTAACACAAAGCTGGACGCTTTTGTTTAAAACTTCGGGTTGGTCCCGACTTTAGTAAAAGTTTACACCACGTATGGGCAACCGGCGCCCCGAGACCGTTTTCAGTCCGCGGAGGGAATCGGGATGTGATGCTTAACTTGAAGAACGGAGGGGAAGAGGAGCTTGTACTCCGCCGCGCTTTTGCACCCTCTTGTAAATAAAACTAAGATACTTACGAGGCTAAGACCACAATCTGAAAAATACTTTGAGGTGTAAGTCCAGATTTCAACAATCTTGCATCAAAAGTTCTAGCCCACAGCTCACATTAACCTTTTGTTTTTTTTACTGAATGAACAGCCTGACAAAAACTTATCTGTTGTTATGTGCCCTTGAATTTTATGTAAGATGTAAAGACACATAGTGTCGACAGCATGTGTGTGTGTGTGTGTGTGTGTGTACAGAAGCGGGTGAACCTTGTCACCCACTTTCAACTCAGCAGCGGGGAGAGCCATGATGCAGCACTGAAGTCCCAGCCAATACCTTTTCTCCCCATGCAAGAAAAGATCAAAATACAGGCACATGAGTTTCACATTTTGAACTGCTAAGCAACAATCATTCACGCAGTTAACGATTTAAGTGCGTCAAGCTTAGCGCAAAATCGCATGATCATGATCATACGGGCAAGCCTGATGCGTTGATGCCTAACCCGCAAGCTTAATTAAGTATGTGAGTCAGGCCCGCGAATCGCCAAAGGTTGCCCATGCCTGCTTTACACACATATACTTTAATCAGCTGCAAGTCATAGAGCTCCTCCAGATATACTGCTGGCAACTTTTCCAGTTGTTCTGATCAATCTTTCACTTCTGGCAGTTAACCTGATAACGATCCTGACGTACGCAACCAATGCAGCATCTTTTTTATAAGGTTATTTGTTCTTGTGCTCAATGTTGGCCAGTTTCTCGTTTAGTCTAGTTTACAATGGCTTACGCACGATTGTAACTTTCCTTTTTTCTCAGCTTTAAAATATAAAATACGGAGAAGGCTACTTTACCTCAGTTTATTCTTACATCTCAGTCGCGGATTTCAAGACTTTTCATGTGGTATTTCCAATTCAATGTTCGCTCTCTTGCCAATTTCCCCAAACATCGCCGCAATTGAAGAAGAGAAAGCAGTCACTGATTTGTTTTGTGACAAAAGCCTTTGTGGATAGGTGGAATTGTTTACAGCATGGTTTTTTAAGAATACTAAGTGATTTTTAGGTTTTTGCATTAGTAAGCATAGCGATGGTACTGGCATCAGTGACTGGCATGATACTCGGCTCAACTCCCGAACTACAAGCAGCAGCAACAAATAGTTCTGGTGCCGCATCAAAACTTGATTTCCGACCTCATTCTATTTTAGAAATTGTTGAACTGGTAAGTTACTTTTTGCTTACGAATTTTTGAGCAACGGATTTATAAAATCTGAATTTCGCCTATTTGAGGACAATTTTTCACGTATCTCCGTTTACTGCTAGCGATTTTATTGCGTTTTTGCATCGTTGATTGGTGCAACTAGAGAAACTAAAAAATGCAACCAAAGAATTTTGAAAACTAGTCCCATTTCAGATTTGTATAATCTGGTTTACATTTGAATATTTTGCACGTTTTTTGGTTTGTACAGAGAAAGGAAAATTTGTGCTACAACCGCTGAATGTAATCGACAGCCTCACAATTATTCCATTTTATA